TGTGTATATTATTTCCACTGGTGCACCATGACTGTGCAGATACTCAGATTTGAAATGAATGCAAAGGTACGTCTGGGTTGTCACCAGTCATTCCTGGTGCCATCTGATCCCACAAGAAAGAAAACGCCAGTGGAGATAGGACAGTTGGGAGTCCCAGTTCCTTACACCTCTGGCCAGTGCTGCGCCCATCTTCCCATGTGGCCTTGGACAAAAAAATACTTGTAGGCAAATATTCCTCTGGTGGTCTCTGTTCTACTCCTGTCATCCTGTGCTAGAGTGTGCTAGCTCATTGCATATGTACAAGTACGCCCCACACGTGCCTGAGATTGCTCACAGGGTGCCCTCCCCAGACGGCATTTTCTCTAAGCATTGGTTCTCTTCTTGCCCTGCATTTGCCCTTGTACAAAGCCAGTTTGCTTGCCCACTGACAGGGGACGTTCAGCCCAGTCCTGCTAGTGCCACGTCCCTGCTGGGGTCACTTGCAGGCAGGCATCTGGGTGCTCTGTCTCACCCTTTCCAGAGATGTGCCCAGAAAACGCAGGTGGGCTGGGATGCTTGTGCCAAGTGCACATCACCTCCTAAGAGCACCTTCTATTTGCTGTCCATGACACCGAGCTGGCATTAGCAACCACATTACTCTCCCTGGCACACAGGATACTGCAAATGCCAAAAGTGTACCTAAGCTCAAAGGGAAATGAGAGAAATCTGCAGAGCATAGCTAATTACATAGAAATTTGGTCTGGAGAGGAAACCCCTGAGACACAACTACCTGGGGGCTGGGAGAGCATCAATTGGAAATACTGCCCCACCCTGCTCTTACATCTTCCTACTCCAAGGTGCTCTTGGCAGTTGTCAGAAGAAGAGGCTGTGTTAGACAGCCATTGGATCTGATCGGGTATAGCATTTCTTCCCTCGGTGAACCATCCTTAGAGCACCAGAGCACCACGAGGACTTTTCTGTGGGCTCTGGTAACTAAGGGTTGTGTGGGAACAGTCTGTTAAAAGACCTTTACAGTTCAAATGGAATAGCATGGTTTGAAACAAAACCTAAGTCCTGATGGAGAGCAGTGGGCTTGGAGCGAGGGCAGAGATTTGTATGCCATGTTCTCAAAGATACCATCCTTCTCTTGTTGCTGCTGAATGTCAGCAAGAGGAGAAGAGCTGGAGCTGCAATTCTGCAAGATTTGTTTTATTCTTTGATTTCTGGTACATGGAAATGAGATGAAACTCATTCCCTCAGCAATTGCTTTGACTACAGACTCAGGGAAGAACAATCTCTGATACGGAAATGCAGACAGTTGGATGCACTGTGGATGCCCTCAGCTTTCATGCCAGAGCAGGGCTCTTGAGCTCATGTGAAATGGACTCGACACCAGTGGAAGGAAAACCCCAGCAGCAGCAGTGGTTTGCTGGAAACTTGCCTGCAGCAGGCAGGGAAGAAGGCAGGAGGTATGCCTGAGCCCGGTGGTTTAGGCCAACGTGCGTCCTGGCTCAGCAGAGGGGCCCCATGCAGCCCCATGCACCCAAATCTGATCAAGAGGTGCTCGAGAAATTTCTCTCTCCCGCCTGCAGTGGGACTGAGAGACAAGGCAGGATAAAAACACTGCAGCTTCTTCAAGGGCTGTAGGGTTGCACGCGCATGGGATCTTGAGCATTTAACAAATACCCAGTTCATGGAGACATCAGGTTGTGGCAGAAACACTACTTTTGTCCCCAAATCAAAGCTTATTCTAGACCTCTCAGGCTTTGAGGGTCAGCTCGGAAACACCGTCTAGGCTGACCATCTGAGATTTGCATGAGGTGAGGGAAAGGTTCAATGGTTTAGAAGCAGCTCTAATCTTCTGGTTCAGTGTTCTGCCTTTTCCCTCTGTCTTGTGGATTTGGGACTCCTGGTATCTGGCCCTGCAGTGACTCAGCAATGGGGGTTTGAGGGTGCTATACAGCGGCCCTTTTGTTTTCTGTTTACACAAGCACTATCATGTCTTGTGCCGAAAGAGCCCCCGAGCCACAGGAGAGGGAGATTTTAAATGCAAATTTCAGCACGTACTTGTGCTGTCGGGATTTTGGGTCTCGGCATGCTTCATCCCAGTGTGTCCAGCGAGGGAGACCAGGGGGCAGATGTCTCTGCCTCTGCTGCTGTGCACTCAGCACTGCAGCCCACTTCACTCCGTGAGCCTTACCACGCTTTGGAGGAGATCAGGCCTGCTCTGAGAATAGCCCATGTTGTTTTCACATCCTTGCTGTCTCTCAAACAGATGTGATCTCCAACACCAATGGGAGGAAATCCTTTTTTTCCAGGATTGCGGTTTCATCCCAGGGACAAATTTGCCTCAGCAATTCTTGCTGATTGGAGATTCATCCAGAGAGCAGACTTGCCTCCCACCCTTTTTCCCAGCAATCTTGTACGGCGGGAACAGCAGCCAGGGCACACGTCTACCCAAGACAGAGCACTTGCTCTCACCCTGGAAAAACGACTTGGAAAACTGCATGCTAGCAGCACCTGCTGCAGGGGCACTTTAAGCCCCGAGGCAGCATTATTCAAGGAAGCCCTATTGCTGTTGGGTCTAAGCATCAGGAACAGCTTTTTTTAATTGGCATCCAGGTTTCCTTTTGTGAGAGAGAATTATTTTGTGGGGCTTTTAGGAATACCACTTGAGGCAAGCCAGAGCACACCCGTAGGAACTTTATATCTTGATACTTCTGCTGCCCTCAGAATTGATGAAGGCAGCTTTTTTAATTAACTTCCCTGAGAAAGGCTTTTTTTTAAATACATGGGGCAGGGAGCAGTGTACATTTTAATGGGAGTTGTCAGGAAGATTATTGATTTTGTTAGTAATGTTTTTGAAATTGGGCCATTCTGTTAATTCTGTCAGGTCTTCTTTGATAGCTTGGCCAAGAGCATTTTTGCATCCTTCATTAGTTTTTTAATATACAATAATTTCCCCTAACTCATCAATGCAAAGCAAGATCAGCTGCCTGCTTGGTAACCATTTTTCCTATGTACAAACCTATTGCAGCAATAATTATCAACAGAACAAATTATTACAGATATTCATTATAAAATACAATTACGCTGAGCCGTGCTGCATTGTTACACTTCTCATAGCCATTGCTTGCTCTTGAGTAAGTGGATTCATTATAAGCATGAAGGGCAAACTTAATGCACTTCTGACTCATAGCAAACAGCACAAGAAATCATCCTGGCTGTTCCTCCAAGTGCTTGGCGGTGCTTGCTCTGAATGAGAATAAAATGTCGACTCTGCTGCCAAATTCTTGTCAGCTTAACAGGGGGCTCTGGGTGGCAGTACTGACAAGCAAGAAGGGGAGTAAGCCAGAAATTACAGCACCGTGGCCTGAATTTCACTCCCCTAGAGCGTGGCTTTCATCCATGTTTATGGGGTTTCAGTGCTGTGACCCACCAGGAACAGCAGATCCTCCCTGATCATATATTAGAGCATCCTCATGGCTGCTCTCATTTGGGCTGCCTGCTCGTGGAGAGTGCAGAGCAGCCAGACACAGGAGAAGAGGCGCTTCTTGGATGGGCTGGAGGGATGAGTTTGGGGAGGGGGAGAGCCACTGGGAAGCTTGTTTAAGCAAGAGCATTTGCAGGAGGCCAGGGACGTCAAGCCTGGGGAAAAAGCAAACCCAGCCAGGAGGTCAGCAGCAAGCCGAGGGCTGCACACTGTCCCTTCATTGCCTTCTTATTTCTTATTTTTATTGCATTCTTATTTCTTGTCTGGGGCAAGGTCAGAGCCAGGAGGAGGTCCCATCCCGGCAGCAATGCCACGTGTGCGGGACAGTGAGCAGGACCCTCAGGGGCTGCTAGATTTCTCCCTACCTCCCCATCTTGTCTCTGCAAGGGCTCTGTGCTGTAGGAAAGAGCACAGTAGTCCCCCTCCATGCAGTAGCCACTTGTACCCCAGGGGTTTGGTCACCATCTGGTGAGCAGCTTTCGTCTGGGGGTTTCTGGTCTACTTACATGAGTCCCTGAAAAGAACTGGAAAACTTATTCCGTGCTGATTTTTTCCCCTGGTAAAGCAATTCATTCACTCAATTTTCACTCTGTTGATTCAAGCAGCAAATCTCTGCTGATGGCCATAGCCTCCTGTCAGGCTTTCGCCCTTTGTGGTGCGTGCTGCGTGGCTGCGCTCTGAGCGAGGGCTCTGCCTTTGGACCTGCCCTGCTTACGCCGCAGGGGCAAATTCAGCAGCCCTCGGCCATGTGAGAAGAGAGATTTGCTGCACAGCTCTCGAACAGGAGCGAACCAAACCTTCAGGTCGTGGGGAAGGATGTGCTGCTTCCAAAGGAAAATAAAAAAGTCAAGTCTCACCATCAGTGAAGCTTTCCTTCACCCTGCTCTAACCAGAAAGACCATCTTTCCCTTATGTTCCCTCCACAGAAAAAGTCCAAACTCCAGCATGCTTTTTGAGCTTGTAAATTGGAGCCTCCAAAGCCCAAATGAGCAGGTGATCATGATGTTGTACATGGATCTGCTGTGCCCGACAAGACAGAGGCTCTTCTGCGCACAGGCGCTGGTTTAAGCAGTGCATCGTGCTTCCAGGGGCTTGGTCTGGTCTGGTTCCCAGTGCTCGCGTCCCCAGGAGCCTGTACGGTGCATGCACATTGTCAAGGGGCTGGTTTGCACCCTGGATTTTTGGAAAGGGACATGTCTTACTGCCCCCAGGCCAAGACACCTCTGGAGGGGGCTGGTCCAGGCTGAGTCATGTCCAGCCATGGCCTCTGGCCGTGCCGGGGAGGATGACACCCTGTGAGCTGCTGGCGCTCTGACCCTGCGGTCCATGCTCATCCTAAGGCAAGCTCGGCCCATCAGCTCCTGCCCTTTGCTTTCGGCTGTGCTGCCCCTCCAGCCTGTGCTACCAAACCCACTGTTTTCTGTCCGCAACCCCCCTCTCCTGCCATTTCCATCCTCCTCCTCTCCCCTCCTCCCTTTTCCCCCCTTATTCTTGAATCTCTATTTCTTCTTCTCTGTTCCAGCAAAACGATATCAATCAAGGTGATAGATGATGAGGAATATGAGAAAAACAAGACCTTCTACCTAGAGATCGGGGAGCCCCAGCTGGTGGAGATGAGTGAGAAGAAAGGTGGGGGACGTGCTCCGGGGCTGAGCCCAGCCTGTGTGTCCCTGTCTGGCTCACTCATGCCTGGCACCTGCAACACCAAGCTCACATTCCCAATGCCTATGGAAAAGGGCAGGAGCGAGGACACTTCCCGTCCCCCCGAACTCAGTCTTTCCTCAGCCCACCAAGGTTTGGCCCCGGCCGGGTGGCCGGGATGCTCCTGCCCTTCCCCATATGCCCCAGGGGGGATGTGCAGCCGCTTCCCCCCACCTGACCATCTCCGGCACCACAGAACCTGGGCGAACGTGAACTGCATGCGTGTGTGATGCCAATCATGTGTTTGCCTTTGTCTTGTGTTCCCACAGGAAATTCATTACCCTTAGAGTACTTGACCGTGAGGAGTATGAGAAAGAGTGCAGTTTCTTCCTTGTGCTTGGGGACCCGGTGTGGCTACGACGAGGAGTGAAAGGTGTGAGAGTAAAACCAGACCAGCTCTCGAGACGCTGCCGTCCGCTTTCTCTGTGTCTCCCTACTCTCACACTCCTTTCTCCTCACACCTTGGCTCCCGGCCGTTTTGCCCTCCCTCCTTTGAAGCTTGGCCACTGCACCTTTTTGCTCTGTTTTCTTTCCTCTTTCATTTTGGGAGTTCTCCGTCTCGCTCACAAGGGCCCCCAGGAGCTAGTTGTGGTCCCAGGAGGGCTCCTGAGCTCCTGGGCAGGGGACAATGAGCATCACCAGTCCCCAGAGACATTTTGAGAGTGCTCCCCTGACACGTCGCAGCTACACCATCCTTTACTCAAATAGAACATTCAGTCTCGAGAAGTAAAAAGGTGACGCTGCATCATTTTTATCAGAAGATAAAATAGCCGACTCTTGAAATAAAATGCATGGCCAGAGCAGTAATTTTAGCCTTTTTATTCTGGCACCAGGATGTGAAAATAGCTGAGAATCACAGCACAAGCAGTTAATACCATAAGATGCAATCGGTCTAGGAGAAATCAGGTTATACTCAAATAAAGTTTCATGGCTCTGCACTGGATAATAGCTTCTCATAGGAATAATAAAAACAATTTATTCTTTCATCACATTTCTAAACCAACTGCAAACCTTCCCAAAAAGACAGAGTTCACTTATTTTTCTCTACATTTTTTCCTGCTAGGAAATTAAGTGAAAATTAATGGCAAGAGCTAATTCTGCGCACTATTGGTGGCTGAGCAAGAAGCAGTTTTATTGTTACTTAAGATAATTAGTGCCCTACAACAGACCCTTATTAAAGCCCTTTGTAAAAAATTGGCAGCAGCATTTGGTCTGACTGCCTTGGAGCTGCTTTCTAATCTCTGGGACATAAGCTCTCCCTTAGGCAGGTGTGGGTTCACAGTACGTTATTTATTCAGGACAGAGAGGGCCCCCAGCGGCCCCCCATGCTGAGTGGGGATGTGCTGCTGTATTTCAGGCTACAAGCACATCCCGCAGCAATGCCACCTTCCCCTTCGGTGCAGATGTTGTCTAGGACAGCTGCATCGTCCCCTCCATCGGATTTCCTGCTGGTTTATGTGGCTAGCTAGCAGAAGCAAAGCGAAAAAATCAGACACACTGGCATGGCCCAGGCTCTGCAGGTGGGATTTGTACCATAAAAACATCTGGAGGGGTCAGCTACAAAGCATAGACAGCGTTGCTAGGATGAAGTGACACATGGACAACTCAAGTGGGTGTCTCCGGCTTTGCCCAGCTTCACGAGGACCAGCATGGACTCAGCCTTGTGAGTCTGGCAGGAGCAAACACACTTTCCAGGCCCCAGTTTTGGGATTCATGGTACCAACTCATGAGATCCCAGCAGAAATTTTTAATTACAAATAAAAGGAAAAGGAAAGCAAGTTCCTCATCTTCCTGGTCACAAAGAAAACTGAGGAAACTTGAGGAAAGCTCAGCTTCGCAAACTCACTAGCTGGAAGGCAGGTCAAGATTTTAAAGGATGCCGTTTGCTGCTTTGGCCATGCAATGGGGTTTTTTTAACTCTTTTTTTACACTCGGGTTTGCACCAGAGGCAGCGAGGCGGGGTGAGCTGTGCACTCAGCACCCTGGAGACGAGAGCATCTCTGAAATGTCAGCCCTGGGCCGTGTAGCCGTGGTGGGGTCCGTGCTTCAGGGGCCAGAGACCCACCAGTGCACTAAGGGAGAGGCTTTGTCTTTTGTTTTGGAGACCTAAAATGTTGAGCGACAAGATCCTTGAGCCAATGCTTGCCACAGGTTTTTCTTATCCCGGTATATACACCGGAAGCGCAGCTGCCTGATGGAGATTTTGCTCCCCATTAGGCAGCTGGAGGAGGTCAAAGCCAGTAGCCGCTGCACATGGGACATCTTGTGTCCTCCCCTGGGGCAGAACTGTCTCCGAGACCAATGGAAGATCTTGCACATACAATTCAAAGGGGAAAAATGAATTTTTGGAGCGTGCCTTTTAATGCCATATCCACCCCGTGTTTGCAATAGTTTTTATTTTAAATCCACAATCCCATGAAACGTTTCTGTTCCTTTATTTTTAGTGCCTTTCTCTCAACACTAATGGCATCCGGCAGCTTTACAGATCTGAAATCTCTGCCCTGGGATCTGGAGTCTTTCTGTGGATATCCCTTTTGATTTCATTATTCATTTACTTTTCTTCTTCTGTGTTTGTCTCTGTCTGTCTCCTTCACAGCCCTGTTGTTGAATGAGCTTGGTAAGCGCGCATTCATTTTTCTTTTCCATTTTTCCAGTTTGTCTGCGTATTTTCGGAAGGCAATTTTGTTTGACATTTTTCCTTGCTCACGACATTCTCTTTTAGGGTGGTCAGCACTGCTTAAGTAAGCTCAGGTATCTAATGCCACATCTTGCCTTGGAATAGAGCCCCAAAGTCACTAACTTTAACGAGCAGCAATGAGCATTTTTCGGGAGTGGCGTTGTTAAAGCTATAGTAACCCCAAGTTACAAACCTGCGCCATGCAAATTAACCCATCGCCTCTCACTCTGGCAAGGCAGAAACAGGATTGCCTGGCGACTCAGGGATGCTTGTGGCTGGACAGGAAAGTTGGCCGATCCTTTTTGAGGAGACGGTGAAAACTTTGCCTCCAGTCTTGGGGAGATTTAGAGCCCACCCAGCCTCTGAATTTTCCCACTGGCTACCCCTAGGGTAGGGCAGCTGGGGAAGGGAGCAAAGCCGCCCTCGTTCCCCAAAGCACCCCCAGCCCCAGGGCAGGCTCGTGCTGCTTTTACCCACCCCACAGCATATCCATGAGACAGTGGGGGCTGTCAGCTTGCAGATGCAGGTTGAGAAGCCTGTGTGCAGGTCTTCCCACACCGTGCCTGGGGTGCGTGTCAGGAGGCAGACTTTCACGTCCATAGCCCCTGGCTGTGGGGCAGGGAAGGAACACCACATCCCTGCGGGCTGTGGGGTGTTCATGTTGCTGTGCCAGTGCTAATCCTCTCTCGTTCATGTTTCTGTGCCAGTGCTAATCCTCTCTCTCTCTCTCTCTCTCTCTCTCTCTCTCTCATTTCTGGTTTCATCTAGGTGGCTTCACCATCACAGGTATGGATTTCTGCTCTCCTCCTCCCCACACACACCCCCCACCTCCCTCCCCATTAATGGCCTTTTGCTCACCCTGCTCTTTCCTCTTGGTTTCCTCTTTGCTTTTGTTCTGTCCTGGAGGGAAACTCTGGAAGGGTAAGAAGGTGCCATGCCCCGGCCCCACTGCCCCGGACGGTCACGCTAACACTGTCCTCTCACAGAGTGCTCTGCCTGCCCCACACACCTAACCTCTCCCTTGAGGAGCGTGAGTCGTCACCCCTGAAGAGACAGGCAGTCCCCCTCCATCTCTTGGAGCAGGGGTTGCTTCTCCGCTTGGTCCAGCCTTCCCCTCCCTGCTGCCCCCACGGGAGGTGTGTGCACAGGGCTCTGCACTGCACGGGGAGCCTGTCCTCACCCCCCAGGCCTCAGCTGGGGTGCCCAAGCACTGCGGGAGGTGCGGGACCCCATGGCTGCCTCCAGTAAGCAGCCCCTGCCCTTCCCACCAGCGAGACCAGGCTGCAGGGTTGGCTCATCCATCATTAGCCAGCCCAGCATCCCTTTTAAGGCCAAGCACTGCAGGGGGGAAGATAAGTCCCCCACATTTCGGAGCAGCCCATCATGAGCCCTGTAAATACTAAATCAGAGTAACCAGGCTCTGGCCGTGAGGCCGATCCCTTTGACCAGGAGGAGGAGAAGGGCTTTCCCCATAGCATGGTGCTGCCTGTGCAGCTGGCAAGGGAGTGACACTAACCCCGTGTGAAGCAGTAGTAGTTTACTAACTGCATGGCAGCGGTTTGCACGGGGCAAACAGTCCCTCCTGCTGATCTCCTGCTGATCGCTTTGATAGGCAAACCTGTCTTCAGGAAGGTCCAGGCTAGAGATCATCCTCTTCCTTGCACCGTGGTCACCATCCAAGGTACCTGCAGCATGACGCCCGAAGGCCGTGGCGGTCCAGTGCGGACGGACTGGGGTGTTTGACAACTGACAGTTTAATTCCAGTCTCCAGTGAACCCAGCCCTTTTTAGATCTGATGTCCTTCTGCTTTAGATCTGATGTCCATCCTTCCGGGATGGACTGGAAGGGAGCTCAGTGGGTGTGTGTGTAGGGACAGGGACAAAAGCCATGCTGCCGTGGTCCCCATGCACCAGAGGTTCCACGGATGCCAGCAGAGGTGCAGACCTGCTCCATTGCTCTGGTAGTGACCCATTGCTTCCCCTCTCAGGGTTTGGGGACAGGCCATTCCCTGTGGATGGCTCCTAAGACCTGAATGGCCCAGCACTATTTCCTCCAGCCCCACCATCACAGCAGGATGCTCTCCAGCTGCCAGCTCCCTCCCCAAGGTAAAGCCCTGCTTAGGAGACAGAGTCAGGATTTCATACCAATCTCAGCCCTGGGTCTGCTGGCAGCTCTCTGTGGTTGTAACAGGCTGATGGAAACGTCCTGACCATGCGCCAGTGCAGACCTGGAGAGCTGGGAAATGGAGCAGACTTAGTGATGATCTGCCCCCCCTCAGCACTCCTGTGGGAGAGGCAGCAGACACCAGGCAATAAGCTGTTCCCCAGACCTCCAGGGGGAACGGGACTGAGGTTGGACAGGTTGCAGACTTCTGCTAGCATTTCCCAGCAAAACTACCTTGCCTATTGCTCTGTGACCTCCTCCTTCTCCGCTGCTCTGTCATTCATGCTCCCACCCGGAGGCTCTGACCTCCCCCTCTGACGGGAAGCTGGCTCCAGGGAGTGACCAGCCGGGCCTGGCTCACCGACGGGCTCTTTGCTTTGCAGAGGAAAATGAAGAAAAGCAGCCACTGACCAGCAAGGAGGAGGAAGAACGTCGAATCGCAGAGATGGGGCGCCCAGTCCTCGGGGAGCATACCAAGCTCGAAGTCATCATTGAAGAATCCTATGAGTTCAAGGTACTGTCTGTGTACCCTCTCCCTGTTCTTCTTCCCCTCCAGCTGGGGACCCTCCTTTTGGGTTTGCGTGGCATCAACAAGCATATGTTAATGGTGTCACAGCAAAGAGAGGCAGCTCCTGGCATCGCAAGGTCTCAGAGCAGGACCAAGGGACACTTGGAAAGGTGGCTGAGCCAAGGCATGGTGAAAGGGTGAGGGTCACTCCAGTGAGATGGTGCTAGATTAAAATACACTCTGCATCCTCACCCTGTCCACAGCCATGGTCCTTGGGGGTTGATCCTAGACTTTCTGTCCCACTCGCAGATTGTTGGTGGTTATTATTACACAAGTACATCATCCTGGAGAGCCCAAGAGCTGACTGGGTTCCAAAATGCTGCAGGTTGCATGAAAACATAACCTTGTTCTCACAGTCATGTTCTCACAGATCCTACTTACAGGCAGCCCCGGGCTGATACCCTAAGCGCAAGTAACGGTTGTGAAGCTAAGCTGCCGTGAACGTGTGAGCCAGACCAAGACCTGAAAACTGGCCGTTTCATTATCTTTTCCATTTTTCTGTAGTATAAAAAAAAAAAAAAAATATTGGACCACCCTTGCCGTGTCAGAGTGGTGGCTGCCTCCCTCCCAGAGCTTTGCTGCCTGCCGTCATCTGAGGCATCACAGCATGCGGGCAGCCCTCCGGCTGCCGGCCCAGGGGCATCTCCTACCCGCTGCTGCCCCAGCACCTTCCCTGACGGCGCTCGTCTCCAGCTCCTGGGCAGCACAGAGAGGTAGAGCCTCACTCTGCGAATAGGCCTTGAGCAAGTCCCAGTCAGTGCTCTGAAACAGCCTAGTAAAAATTCTTCGCAAGTCATTGGAAAGAACGGGAGCTGTGGCACCTCAGCACTGCATGCTGTTAAACCTCTGCTGACATGGTTCAGACTCCCATCATGAGCAGGTTTCAAAAGATCTTTTTGAGCGGCAGCAAGGGGAATTGCAAGTTCTTACATTTGCTTCCACTGCTGGGGCTATTGACCTGAGCTTAAAATCTACTGAGTTTTTTCTGTGAGTGCATGGCTATAAGCACTAGCGCTGGTGGGTTTTAGCCCAGCATCTCCAGCCTGATAGCCCCTAATTCTCTCCTCTGCGTCTCCATCTACAGAACACAGTGGACAAGCTCATTAAGAAGACGAACCTGGCCTTGGTGGTTGGCACAAACAGCTGGAGGGAGCAGTTTATTGAGGCTATTACTGTCAGCGCAGGTGAGTTTGGACCACAGCTCCAGGTGAATTACGACCGACTTCGCTGGTGTCTTGGCTTGGCTGTGTCGGTGATACAGACCGTAGTGGAGCAGCAGGAGGCAAAACAGGTGGTGGAGTTATTTACAGCATCCGCTTAAATAGGAGAGCTGACTAAACCTTTCCGTGAGATACCTTGTCTGAGGGGTAGGAAACCTCCTGCACTAAGTGTTGTCTGTAGCACCAGCAGAGAAACACCCCAGCCATTACCAGATGGCAGAGGGGAAAGGTCATTTCGGTGAGAGAGGTTTGGGAGGCAAACGCAGCGGTTATGTTCAGAGTGGCATAAATGATGCTGGTGCAAAGCAGCAGTGCTCCCCACCCCTGGTGCTCTCCGTACTGCTGGGGTGAGGACAACGCGGTAGCAAGGGTTCCAAGCCCTGAAGACAGCCACTGAGTCCCCCACTCTGTGGGCCAAAGTTTGCCCTTGACCCCATGCTGTCAGGAACTCCTGCTGCTCCAGACAGCTGTGGCTGGAGGTAGTGGCTCAGCAGCAGCACGTGATACCCATGGTCATATCTGATCATGTCTCCCCTCTCTTAGAGAATTGTCTTTCCCTCAGAAATGCCCTGTTGTATTGTTCTCACAGACAGTGCCATGTTTACCAGTATGCCCAGTATAGGATATATTAGCCTTCCCACATCTGTGGAAGATAAAAGAAAGGTCTCCTCTGGATGTGGTTTTAACAGCTGGAGACACTATAACTCACTGTCTGGATGTTACAGCCCCACAGCCCAGCCGGGGCTGCGTGTGTGAACGCATTAGGGCAAAATAAACCAGCTTAAATTAAATCACTGGGGAAGGCAATTTGAGCTCATCTGGCTAATTGTGCATTGAAATTCATGGGAGAACACTCACACTTCCTACCTCAAGCTCTGCTGTACAGGGTAACTTCTGCCCAGCGCAGAGTAATTAAAAGTGATGGCTGTACCATTTACCCTCCGCTTCTGAAAACGAGGACAGGACATTGTGCAGCAGCTATCTCCTCAAATTGTGATCCCTCTTCTTGTAGCGTAGCTATTCTTAGAGCCTCCAGCCAAGAGCCTCCCATTATTTCGGATACAGCATGAACATATCATGCAAGACAATCCTTGCTGCAGGTTTTGTAGCTAATACGACTAAACTAATCTACGCCAGAATCAATTATTTAATTGCATCCCGTATTAAAGCAAAGATAATCACTAGTACTTGGACCTTGGATCCCATCTCTGTGACACGTGTAAAGACTGCAGTTACGTGAAAGTCACATTGCCACCATGTCTTGAATATACAGCCACCATCAGTGCTAGCAGGATATTTAACAAACATTTCATAGATGTGGCATATTTCGGTGGGCATGAGCTGTCCCTTGCAGCTGGGTAACAGTATTTTGTCTCTGAGCTCTGGACATACTTTTTTTTTTTGCCAAGATTTAGCTCCTCAAGCTTTGTGCTGAGCAAGTTAAAATGCTTCTAACGCTGGAGTTTGTGTTTGAGTTTTTCCCTGTAACCCGTCACGGAGAGTAGGTGAAAGTCACACATTCCCACTTCAAAAAGTAACATCCCAGCTGAGGAAAAAAACGTTAAAATCCCATTTCCCACCCAACTGAGAGCAGTGTTGGCGGGGAGGCCGAGCAGTGGAGCAGCAGGTCAGTCTGTGGCAGGGTGGTGCAGGTGCTGTGCCATCCCCTGCTGCCCGTGGGGCTGAGCCTCTCGCCCATAGCTGCCTGCGGTGTGCACCCAACAGTCCCTAAAGCTGCTTCCACATCCTGGGGTTTATGAGCCTGTTCCTAAATGCACCCCTGGGTCACCATCTGCCCTCACTCCGCGTTTCAAGTCACCTTCATGGGACCTGGCCGGCTTGTTGAAAGAGAGACATTATTGCTGCTTAACAAAATGACAGATAGATGTGAATGAGTGTTATGACAGTGCCACTCATGTTCATTTCTCAGTCTGCTCTGTCATCTCTGTAAAGATTGAGATCCATGCAGCTTGGGAAAGGATTAAAATACCTGCTGCAGATTTCAGTGTGAGCGCAGCACAGCGTACCCTGCCAGTACCAGCCTTTGTGCGATGAGCAAAAAAAACCAGGCCAGCATAGGTTTCCCAGGCTGAAAAACTGTTCCTTATCTCCACGACAATGCACAGGAATAGGGTATTTATATCTGCCAAAATAATAACACCATGCCACTGATTAGCTGTTGTTTCTGCCATAGTGAGTTTGAAGCTTTAAAGCCGAGAAACGCATCATTTTCCAGCAAGTTATTGTAGAGACATGAAGTTTCCCACCGGCCCTATCTTATGTGTTGGTTTTGATCTTTGCAGATGCAAAGGTGCTTTGAAGACAAAAAATGTGTGCAAAGTTGCGCCCCAGCAGGGTGCTGAGTAGGACTTTTCGCTGGTTGGTCATGGCTTTATTTAGCCGAATACGGAAAGCCTCCAAAGATGATGTCTGTCAGCCAGGGTATGTGCCCCAGGGCTGCACCACCCTCCTGGGGGAGATGTTTCTCCTCGTGTTACCATCCAGGCTGCAGTTCGTGGCCGTTGACCCTTGTTTATCACTTGTCAGTGCAGAGGGGGTTTTGCTCCATCCCCTCTGGACATGCCCTCCAAGTCACTGAGGGCTGTTTCTTGGTCCCCTCCAACCTCCTCTCCTCCTGACTCATCAAACCAGTTCCTTCCACCTCTCCCCAGAGGCAACATCCTCCAGGGTCCGGTCATCTTGGTGGCCCCACTGAATCCCCTCCAGCTTCACCCTAGCCCTCACGTGGGATGCCATATCCCCTGTGTACAGACAGATACCTGCATCAGAGGTTCCCTCCTGCCTTTCTCTCACTGGGTCCACCACTAACCTCTCCCCTGCAACTGCACCTCTGCTGAGACCCCCCAGGGATGCCAGCAGAGTGCAAGGTTTACAAGTACTGGAGCTGAGCCAGCCCAAAAGCAGGCTGACTCCTCTTACAGGTTACCACATCTGGAGGGGGATCACAGTCTGGGTGATCTCTGGGACTTGCTTCCATGTGTGCTGCATGTGCTCCCTGTGGGACCAAAAAGGGGAATAGCCAAGAGATGAAAGTTCTACACAGGGCTCAGCCTCCACTTTCCCAGGAAGGATGCCACGTCTTGATCCCGCAATTGGCTTTTCATCGCCAACTTTGCAAGGAGGCAGAAAGCAATTATTGTTGTGAGCAGCAACAGACCCAGCAGCTCACCAGCAGCTTCCCCAGTAGATCTGTCGTCATGGCACAGAGCCGCCGTTTGAACACGGGGTTAATTGATACCCACGTATTGGTACACGGTGTACAGCAAGACCGTTTCATTCTCCCTGTGGGGAGGCTTTATACATTTTGTTATTCAATCAAACATCCACATTGCGGAGGAAGACGTGAAAGGAGGAATGTTCACCCTGGCCAGCAGTGGGGCAGATGAAAACAGCGCAGTCTCACGACAGCCTGATCAGTGCTGTGGCTGCCGGGACAAGCAGCTTTTCCCAGGCACAGAGCCATCCCCTTAAAACCAGTGTCTGGTGAGGTGGGACCTTGTCCCCTCGCCCACTGTGGTGGAGCAGACGCTCAGGTTTGGGATGTCTTTAACACAGCTTATGATGGCCTTGGAATCCCCAAGTCTGCGACTGTGAAACCCATCCTTGTTTCTTGAGGGAAGGCTCCTACTGCTTTCATCAGGAAAGCGTCAGCTCCCCTTCATGCGTGGGAGTGGTTCAAGTGTGAGATGGAGGAGTTTCTGCCCATGCCACAACCATGGTGTTGTGCACTGTGCCAGGCTGAGGGAGCTCAGCACCCAGAGGACAGGCTGGCCAGAGGGCTCACAAGGTGCCTCATCAGAGCTGCTGGGGTCAGGCACAAGGTCACCAGCCCCAGGGGGTTCACTGGCAGCGTCAGCCTCGCATGGTGCGACTCCCTGGAGGCTGGATGCTGAGTGGCTTTGGAGAGAGAGGTGATGTGCTGACACCTAGAGAAGGGAGAGACCAAGACACCTGCCTGGATCCCCATGGCTCTGCCAGGACTGAAAAGATGCTGAGCCAGTGCCAGGGGAAAGGGCCAAGGAGACAGGGGAGGGGGCCAGGACAGTCTGATGTCTGCTGAGCTCTTCCCCTGCAACCCACAGGGAGCTTCTGGGCATGAGCCAGCCTGCATGTCCGGGGGCATGGCTGCGGTTGCGTAACTCGCCGAGAGCCCTTGGGAGCATGCAGCAGCCAGCACTTGGGGTCTGAGAGCCTCCAGAACATCGGGCAGGATGGGCACAAGGACTCGCATCCCCAACGCCCCATCTGTGCTGGAGACACAGGGCTTGCAGGTGCTGCAGGGGCCACAGCCACGAGCAGCGGTGCAGCAGGGTAGCCGGGGTCCGACCCACACAGTGTGCCTGGTGATCAGATGGGGCCGGGGCTGCTGGCAGGCTCATGCTGGGAAACTGACCTCTGCAAGGCATTAACAACAGATCGGTGAGAAGTGCTGACCTGGGTCAGGGGCAGAAAATAAAGAGAAGGAAAGTGCGTTTTTGCTGTGACAAATGATGCTCCATAGCTGGCTCGTGGTCTGGGGTGCTTGACAGCTACGTGGAAGGGGTGCAAATGGGAAAGCATTTTCATGTGCAGGAGGTGCCCACGGACCTTGGTCACACCAGACCAAAGGGAATGGTCAGCCAGAGCTCATAAGGAGGCACGTGAAGGGCCAGGGAAATGCAACAGGGAAGGACAAGCAGTGATGGACCAGAGAGGTTTTAGGGCAGGTATTCTTCATGGCTGTATCCCAGTTTGCAGAAAAGGTGACATGCCAGAGCTAGCAGCTCAGCAGCCACCGAAACCAGCCATCTTTCCAGAGACCTGGAAGCAATCGCAGCTGCCTGTGAGGTGTGACTCAAAAAAGGGGGGTTCACCTGCCATGATCGGCTCCAGCCCACGTGAGGCCAGTGGTTTCCAGCGTCTTCTGGGGTGAGGGCTCCTGAGCAGGGGCTGAGTCTCGGAAAGCATCTGCTGGTTAAACCCAGGAAGAATTGCTGCCGTGAGGCTTTGTATTTTCTGAAGTGCATGTTGATTTTCAAGACCAATGCTTTCAGAGGGTCTCTCTGTGCTGTGAGAAGGGTCAGGAAAGGCACTTGGATGATTACCCAGAAAATAAGTGGAAGCTAAGGCCTTCTAGGGCCCAAATCCTGAGAGATGGCATTTGAGGGGCTGCAGTATGCACAGGAGCTTTTCCCAGCCTCCCCCAGGATGGGCAAGTCTAATCAGGCACTGGTGGTTTTCTCCAGGGGAAGATGACGATGATGATGAATGTGGGGAGGAGAAGCTGCCCTCCTGCTTTGACTACGTGATGCACTTTCTGACCGTCTTCTGGAAGGTCCTTTTTGCCTTCGTGCCCCCAACAGACTACTGGAATGGCTGGGCTTGCTTCGTTGTCTCCATCCTCATGATCGGCCTCCTGACAGCTTTCATCGGCGACCTGGCGTCCCACTTTGGGTGCACCATTGGCTTGAAAGACTCGGTCACCGCAGTCGTGTTTGTCGCACTGGGGACATCAGTGCCAGGTAAGGACAAGAGTAAGGTTCGTTGTGAAGATCCATCTCTGCCCAGCCTGCGTTCGGGTTTGCGATGGGAAAGCTGGGCACAGCAAGGTCGTGCTCTGCACGACCCCTGAGGACAGATCTGAGGTGTGTGTGGAAGGTGTTTCTCAGTCTCAGATGGGCCGGGAGGATAGAACCAGGATGTGGCTTCAGTCCCCTGGAAATTATTTCAAGGACCTTCCCCTCACAAAGACTGTGAAATATCTATTTCTGTGGGCAGCCTGCATGGCATCCATTCTCAGAGCAGGAAATCCTCCACGCCGGGGAGGTGCAGGGTGCTTTCCCGGAGAGGCATCAGACAAACGGGCAGTGAAATCAAGACCCACCGGGGCATTCCCTGCATTAAAAGCACAGCTCAAGTCTGCAGAAGTGCATGTGGTTGTTTCCCCATTCTGGCTGGTGCTGCTAGTGTGCCCCAGATGTGCTCCATGCCTCTTCCAGCTGTGGCAGCTGCAGCACCACGGAAGCATCAGCACTGTCCCACAACTCCGTTACTGCTCCGTGACCAAGGCTGAGAACAAGGGGAAATGCCTTTTCCTTCCCTCAACAGTCAGAGGCATTGCTGTGGGATTTTTTTTTTTTAAAGTAAAGCAGACTTTTGAATTTTTCCCTGCAAATGGCCCCTCTCACTGTGCTTAGAGGTGCCCAGCCCTTCCCATCACATGAAACCGGGTTCTCAGGCGAGGCTGCGCTTCGCCGTCTCACCTTGGAGCCTGCTGGGAAGGAGCATAAGGGAAACTCTGTAGAATTAAAAACCATGAAATCTGACCTCACCGTTTTTGTTTCTGAGCCACACTCCGCTGCCTGCACCCAAGTTGATCTGGGAGTGCAGATATGTTAAGGATTCCTTCTCATCATTAGCTGAGAGTGCTCACCTCGACAAAAACCAGATGCTAACCCCCACGCCTGCACACGCCCCCTGCAGATCCAGAATGGGTTTGTAGTAACATCAGCCCTTCCCTATGGCACAGAGCAGTGCTGTGCTGGTCTGCTCAACACAAGAGCTGCCAATATAAAAGGCCAGATGAGTTTTATCACAGCTTTTTTGGCACCAGTATTAGAGCTGGTGGAGCCGCTGGACAAGACACTGGACTTCGGTGAAGCAAAAGGGTTTGGAGAGACATCATTGAAGCCAACACAAAAACACAAATACAAAACTTCAGGGGACCTGAAGGATAGATGCAAACCATTGTGGCTCCCACAAAGCTTTTCCAACCTTTTGAGTTCTTTTGCAAGTCAATAAGTTAGTGGGTGTGGGAGAAGCAGCCAACACAGTGTAGTACTGTGGGGCATCTGGGACCACACTGGGGGAAGCTCTATATTTCTGGACATTAAGATTTCCCTCCTAGGCACTTCTGGACCCTTATTGTCACTCTAGCTCTGGCCAGATGTGCCCTTCCTTGGGACTGCCCATAGACAGGGCTGTACCGTACCCTGTCCCCTTACCCACTATCTCCATTCCCCAAGTGATGCTGTTGTCCCCAGACTGCCTGCTGCTGTCCCTCCTTACCTGACTCTTCCTGAGGGTTTCTCTCTGCCTTCCCTTTGCAGACACATTTGCCAGCAAAGTAGCGGCAACACAGGACCAGTACGCGGATGCCTCCATCGGGAATGTCACCGGGAGCAATGCTGTGAACGTTTTCCTGGGCATTGGGGTGGCCTGGTCCATTGCGGCCATCTACCACGCGGCACACGGACAAGCCTTCCAAGTCTCACCCGGCACCTTGGCCTTCTCCGTCACCCTCTTCACCATTTTTGCTTTTATCAGTGTGGGCGTGCTGCTCTACCGACGGAGACCCGAGATTGGAGGTGAGCTGGGCGGGCCGCGGACTTCCAAGCTGCTCACATCCTCACTCTTTATCCTCCTCTGGCTCTTGTACATATTCTTCTCATCTCTGGAAGCCTACTGCCACATAAAGGGCTTCTAAAGGGACAATCAAAGATAGTAAATATATATATCTATATGTATCTATATAGAGTGATATATAGGTATAGATATAGATATAACGCTGTGTATAATGAACAGAGTAAGAATAAAAGAGATTTGCCATGTTCACACACCTGCTGACGGAAAGCGCCTTTGGAGCATCCTTTGAACTAGGCAGGACCCCAAAGCCAGCAGGACCCCTCCCCGGGCAGTGGCCCCGGCCAGGAGCCCGGCGGCAGGGCCCTCTCTGCAACTCTATCGACAAGAGCGGCTGATAGCCACCGAGCCCTTTCCCATCGCTCTCTCCTGCCCACCGGCCCCCCGGGAGGATGGATGTGAAGGCAACCGGGGCACGTTGGTACGGGGAAGGCCAGAGTAGCTGGTGAGGAACAGAGCAGTGGGCGAGGGAAGGAGAGGAAAGCGAGGGTCCTGACCTCCAACCACCACGCACCTGCCTTCGCCACTCGGGAACGTCCCCTCTGGCCCTGTTGGAGAGAAGCAAGACCGAAGACAAGGGGAAACTGGGAGCTTTCTAAGGATAGAACACAAACCGTTTTCGTCATTGATTTGGGGTTGGGTTTTTTTTTTGTTGTTTTGGCGTGTGTACAACTAGCATTTCCCCACACACACATGCTCCTCGCCTTTCCCCCTCCATGCTTCGGGGGTGCGCAGCCGCAGCCTCGTGTTCGGTGTCCTAAGCCAAGGCTGCGCGGAGCAGCGGGGGCTCTCCCCCCGCCTCGTCCACCTCCTTGGGCATGCTGTCATGGTACTTGTAACATTTGCATGAATGAAATGAACCCTCTCTGTATATAGCATCCTATAGCGATAGTCCTTCCAGCCATGTGGGTTGAGCATTGCAGATACAAGTGTTTTCTTTTCACTGGATTTTATTTATTTTAGTTAGTTTAGTTTTGCCATAGGTTTTTGTTCGTTTGTTTGTTTGTTTCCTCTCAGTGGGGGTAAAAGGAGGGAAAGCTGTCCCCATTTATTGCTCCGCGCGTGGGTCCACGAGAAGCAATAACAGCCACACAGATGTAGGTTTTCAGGGGAGGAAAACCCGCGCCCCAGAGACTGCAGGCTCTGTCTCCCCGGGTGGCTGGGGTCCCCCCGACAGCGTCCAGTCTCGGACGTGCTGAAGCCGACGCGAAGGCCTCCGCCGTCCACAGGAGGTGTTCCACAAGGTCCCGGGGATGAGCAGCATTCCAGCCCCAGGGGGCCGAGCACGGCTGGTCCCCAGCGCCTCGCCTGCCTCTGCCTTTAAAGCTGGCGGCTGCCTCAAAGCCCCTTGGCCCCCTGGTATTCCCTGTGTCCCCAGAGGTCTAGTGACAGCCCCTGTTTCTGACCATTAAGCCATCGGGATCAGTCCCCAAAGCTGATCCTTTCCCACAGCCATTTGGAGGCAGAATAATTCAGCGTAAGGGCTGAAGGGCCGTGACGAGATCTCCCACGTCACTGAGCATAACCGGGAAGCATCCCCCAAGATAAAAAGGCCACATTTTGCACTGTCCAAATCTGAGATCGACGGGAAGCAGGAGACAGGGAGGCGTAGCGCAACACCACCCCCCCGACTCCAGCAGTGCAGAGTAGCACACTGGGGTAGCGAGCCGAGCCCAGGAAGGTGGGGATGTAGGGCTGTAGCGCAGGGCTGAAATTGTGCACTGGTGTTGAGAGATGTCTCCTCACCCCACGCGCCCTTCGCCGGGCTTCCCGGTGTCCCAGCCAGGCAAACACCCAGCCTACACATCCACTGGTGAGCTCTTCCCACCCAGCTGAAAACCACGTCTGGTGCTTGTACCATAACCGATTGGCTGGGGGTATTTGTACTCATTTTGAACAATCTGTGGAAATTTTAATTAACCTGGTGTAAGATTTTCTCTAGGAGTACAGAGTTAACGGGTTGGGGGTTTTTTCTCTTCTCAAGCCTTTTTTTCACTTTTGACAGGTTTGGGGGGGGTTCTTTTTGTTTCTCATTGTTTTGGGGGAAGAATCAAAAGCAGGTTGTTCAGGTTTATGATGACCTTTATGTACAATTATTTCATTTTCATCTGTTTGGCTTCATTGATTTTTCTTTGTGTGTATTGCCCACCACTATAGGCAGTGAGTCCACTAATTGTGATGATCCTTATCAATGGTACACAATGCACAGACAAATAAAGTTTGTAATGATTCCTGATGGATCCAGTAGTGCTCCCGCATATTCTCTATGGAAAACCCTTCCTGCCCCTCCCATTGTTGTACCCATCGTTGTACCCATCTCTTCTTTACTCATTGGTTTGCCTTCATTCTGTTTCTGCCGCTAGCGGGGCCCAACGGTGCCTCTGCACACCCGCTCCTGCCCCATCTCACAGCTTTCCTCCTGCTCCATCTCCATTGTGCCTCGGGCTCGACGTGCTGCCCTACAGCCTTGGCTCGCAGCCTGCCCAGCTCTCGGGGGGTGCAGGAAACTGCCCAGGGACAAGCAGTGCAGCCCTCATGGGGCCAGGAGCTGCTCTTGTGCTGGTCCCCTGTCAGTGCTGGCTTGCCCTAGGCTCGGGGAGAGCCGTGTGCGTGCCCCCAAGGTGCTTACCAGCTCTTTCTGCTTCTGGTGACGTAGACCTGCTCTGTCCCAGCCTCACGGTGACTGCGCTAGGTTAAGCCACTAGTTAATGCGGAGGAGAGATGCAAGAGATGCATTACTAGGGCAGGGTCCATGAGTGCCAAAGCAGAGCCGAGACACCCCACAAGGTCGTTGAGCAAACTGGCAGCTTGGGCTGCTCTGGGCGGCTGCCTGCCCATGCCCCATCCCGGTGCCATGGGCTGTTTCTGACCCGCGTGGCTCGACAGAGCTCAGCACTGAGGAGGAGAAAAGTCTCTCCGTGCCCAGGGATGTTGGTCTTCCCTGTGTTTCATTCAGCATCTATTGAGCTGTCCCCAAACAAACCCTCCCTGCATCACTTCCTAGGTCCCACGGCTGAACCCAAACACCAGCTCCAGAGATGGGTCCCAGGCAAGCGCTGCCTTCATGTGGTGAGGCTCTCCCTGCCCCTCCCGGTGTGGCACCTTGCCCAGGGTGCATGTTCCTGGGGTCCTGCCCATGATCCTGCCCGTGCTCTGTCCCTGCTCCTGCCTGTCTGCTGGGCAGGGTCAGGATGGGGCCGCAGAGTCGGTCAGACTGGCACCAACAGCCGTGTCCAGCTTCCGATGTCCAGGCTGGAAATAGGAAAGGGTATGAGGGGGGTGATTTTGTTGGACCATGAGCGTGTCTGCAGAGGCCCAGAGGCAGTAAAATTCCCACCTGCTGATGCGTGGGGACACGTGGCAGAGCAGGTAACTAACACACCCCATCAGCTGGAGGATTTAACACGGTCTCTGGGCTGCTCTCTCGCAAACCCAGCCGTTCCCCACAACCTAGGCTACTTTTTGCCAGCCGTGCTGCTGGCCCCACTCTCCCTGCGGGTGCTCTGCACCCTCCAGGATGGGCGCAGGTCAAGCTGCAACGCTCGCCAAGCCCCCGGCGAAGGCAGGCAGTGCCGTCCGTGCGCTTTCCTCAGGCAGTGACTTAGGACAGCGAAGCCGCTTTCCTGACCCAGTAATCTACTGAAAGGTGATGTTGGTGTTTTACGCTCATCATTTGCTTCTTCGGAATGAATTGCAGTCACTGAAGTCATTAACAACCGAACAGGACTCGTGTAGCAGCTCAGTTTAACAGGCAGTAAATAACTGTTCTGCTCACAGAGCTTTCCAAAGGGAATGATGAAGCATTGCTTGCTTCGGACAAGGCCTAAATCACACAGTAAACACCAGCCTTGTTTATGCAATTATTCTCTGCCAGCTGCGTGCTTTCTGGCATCTTTAACAAGCTTATGCAAAGTGTGACAGGTATTTTCCCAGTTGCCCATGGACGAGCCTTTTACCTGGGTGCTGCCTTGCCATCGGAAGGACGGGAAGGACCACTCCACTAAGCCCTGGCCACTTGTCTGCATTCACGAGGGTGTAATGCCTGCTCCTCCGCACCAACCTCAAGTTTAAACCAAACTCTCCAGAGGCAAAAGTAAGCTGTCCTCCTCCGCGAGACCCCTGTGCCCAGCCGCAACGCTGCCGGGGCAGCAGGAGGGAGCACAGGCCCTGGCGCTGCACGTCTGGTCCTCACACCCACCCCTCCCCATGGGCCACAACCCAGCCCCCTGGGTCCCCATCTAGTGCCTCCTTGTCTCTGCCAGCCTCCCCACCGTCCTCACAAGGGAAGGGCATCGAGCATTTCTGATAAGGCCCCAGGGAACAGGGAGGTTGCCAGAAAGAGCACTTCAAACCCTTGACCTCCCTCTATCCACCTGCCCCGGCTGCTCTCACCTCGTCATCACCCCACTAGCCGAAGGCAAACCTTTCCATGAAAAAGGATGCAGCACAGTGCAAAGGACATTCAGAGGCGGACATCCAAATAACTCAACAAAGCCACTGCAAAGTGCCTTGGGGCAAAGGGAAGGAGCACATGGAGCAGTGATAGCCCTGAGCATCTTACAAAACCACATCCCCATCTCTTCAGTCGCCAGCGGCAGAGGAGGCAAGTCCCAGCCACAACCTAAACACGTCGAAAAGGTGCAGCAGAGCCAGGGACTCTGCAGGTGCCAGCGGGAGCCACAAACCTGCAGCATCTCACACCTGAGCCTACCCAAACTGCTTGCCGCCCACCTGTACCTCTGCCAGGGCAGCGAGGGAACCGAACCTCCAAACATCGCACCCGCCTGTGTGCCACCCATTTCCAGGCAGCCTGTGGTGGCTCGGGGGTGAGGGGAGATCGTGAGAGTTGTTTGTGCATCTTTTTCCCCGCCTTCATTGCTTTCTGAAAGGACAAAAGGGAAAAGGGAGGCCTTGAGACCTGTGTGATCACGAGTCTGGACGCAGTCTATAAACTCGCTGTGCTATTTCTGCTGCGGGTGGGGAGGGGACAACCAGAGCCTGTGTGTTATTGTTACGGCTATTTTTAAACGCTTCGTTAGGAATCAAGCGCAGTGGTGTGGGGGGCCATATACATACCTAGGGAGGTGGCTCAGCTGCATTCCCAGAGGAGCAGAGCCAGGCATAGCCAGGAAGAGAGAAAAGAGGGAAAACTTAGATGCCAGAGGGTGTTGTTCCAGGAGAACCCCCTGCATTATT